TGAAATGTTACATTTCTCTCAGAAGCTGAACTTATAAAACAATAATTTTAGAAACAAAAGCAAATTTAAAGAGGAGATTGGAGAAAATTTCCTCTTGTCATTTATTTGAAAGACAATATGCCAGACCTAGTTAATGTCAAAGAACATAGGATTTAAAATGATGTTTAGGGAAAACTCGGTCATAGCTTCTTAAGCCCCCTCACAAGGATCCTCATAAACAATTTTCTATATTTTCAGTATCTAAATTCTGCATCATGTCTAATTTTATGTCTTTTCACCCTCCTCAAAGAGTGCTAAATTTATAGGATTCATGAGAAAGATAGAGACACTAAAGGACCGTCACATCCACAGTCTATGAACATAATCACTGAATTCAAAAACGTGATATTTGTTGAATGTCCACAGTCCCACAGCCACACACTGTAATCTGTAGAAGGAGAGAGTGGTCAGGCAATTTAAACCTTGCAAACATCAATTCAGATAATCAAATTCTCAACTAGATTCTGAAACACATAGATGTAACCAGACTGTGAAGTGTGTTATCTCAGTGATCAGCATTGAAATGTCTGCAGCCACACTGCCTCCTATCAAACCACACCCCACTGCCCACCAGGGATCTGACATTCACCCAGTCCCTTGGTCTTCCCCTGTAGAACATAAGTGATTCTATAACCTATCTTATCAGTTCTGGCTTTCCAAGAGGTAAATTCCATTATGCAAAATATTGATTTCAACTGTTCATTTACCTATAATGCAGATGCCTGCATAACTGCTTTAAAACACAGAGTTCCTTTGCTGAGTGACATATGTTGATACCATAGATCATCCTAGACTTTTTCACATAGATGAGAAGGTATGAATGACAGATCAAAAACACTTTAGTAAATATAAACAAACAAAATGAGTTTAAAGTGCATGGCATCATGAATATTGATGTAAATAAAAATAACCATAAAATAGATCTTAGGTTGTGAAAAGGCTCATAACTAGAGATATGAAAAATCAGAGGAGTGAGGACATTTGGGATAAGAAAAATAAATGGAAATAAGAAGGAAAGCACTTTTGGGGACAAAAAGATCAATGTTAAATTTCCAGTTAGCCAGATTCCAATGTCATAGTCAAACGAAAAATCAATAACAAAACCTAAAAAACAGATATTCAGGTAGACCATGAATGTAAGGTTATGAAATTTGGATAATTTATTTATTAAGTAAGTATCAAATTTGGAGGCATAAAAAGATGATAGCAGCTTTTCAATTAAGCCACACCAAAGAATAAATGTCACTCAAAAAATTTTAATTGAATTTTATCTCTCTCTCTTTTAAACCTAAGTTACACACAATTGGACTTGGAAATCATCCATAATGAAGATCCTACCCCTTTTCAGATGCCAGACACCCACCGAAGATATCCATCTTTCTATTCCCTGCATTTAGTAACTCAGGGCAAAATATACAAGCTGACTCATGGTGGTCCCCATATAATAAAGACTAGAATTAGGACTTCCCAAGTACCATCTATTGGTGGTTGTGGACTTGCCAATTTGTTTCTTCTGAAAGGCTCAGAAGAGTTACTACTTACTGTTATCTGTGGGTACAAAAATACTAAACATATTTCCTCAGCTTTAAGAGGATCATTTCATATTATCAGACATAGGAAAAAGTTTTATACAGTATTTGTTACTCATATGTTCTATAAAAATGTGGTATACAGTTTAATAGCAGACAAAAATCTTTCTCCCTTTGAGTGAGTTATTCTTGGTTTTCATTATGAAGATCATTGGAGCTTACAGACCAAAAATTCAGGATGAGATGACATGAATCCCAATGTGATAATGGCCAACCCTACAATCCTTCAGGTCGATCCTCACAGGCTTTTACTGAGATGCTTATTTTATTTCTGTAGAGAAGGAGAAAATTAAGGTAGTACAAATTCTCATCACTTTTCCAACTACTCCTAGCTTTTTACTTCCTTTCTATCACCTGAGAAGTAAAACAGGACAGTTAATATATGATTCCTAAACGTAACAAAATAATTACTTCAGATTTCAGATGCACTGCTTGAGATGCTCACCATGACTTTTAAAGCTACCTGTACCACTATCTTCCTTTGCACTTGTCCTCCTGGGCTTGAGCTCATCCATGTTTCAGGCTAACTGCTGTCCCTCCTGAATACATTCCCTGATTGCTCCTTGTCTCACCACCATCAACCCTTCCTCTGCTCTCACCTCCACTCTGCATTTCTACTGTGGAAACAGCACCAGTTTAAACATGAGCTGCTCAGAAAAACTGTTCTAGATTGCACCAAGCAAGTAACTTACTTGCTAATGATGCCAAGTATTAAAATGTGTGCATATTTATTGAATCATATAATCTTTAATGTATCATTCTCTCATTTTTACTCTCATTTTTCTCTCATTTCAACATTATTCATTTAAATATTTTACAATATATTAAAGCCACTGTGCACAGCTCATGCTAAAGTGAGAAGTAGAGTTTTGTAGGGAGCAATCAGAGATCCAGGAGGAGAACCTGAGTTTTCAAACTCCCTGAAAAGACTCTCCTAATACACTACCCCTCATGCCACACAAAGCCCACATTCTAACTATCCAAGAAGAGCCCATATAAATCCAAGAAGCCACAGATAGATAAGAAAACACTGGCCTTTTCAAATGTTCTGACTACAGTAATGGATGCAATCTTCAGGATGAATCAAAAAGAATGTCAGTTTATACACATATTGAAAAACAATAGTGAGAAAAATATTTAAATGATTAGAGGACAAGGGGAGGGGTCAGAGCCAAAAGGAAAATGACAGTTTTTACTAAAAGCCACAAAAGAAACATAATCTGAGAGTCTGACAAAGTAATGCCCACAGTGCAAAAGTGAGCCACGATCCATGGTAGACACAGCATAGTTTAGGGGGGAAAACCTAAATAAGACATTGAACAAAGTCAAGAATGTACCTGACTTATGATTTCACAAGATGTCATTTCTGAATAAAGTTTTAAAATTAGGATCTTGTTCTAGGTGTATTTTCTTCTCTCAGATATCCAGAGACATTTTTCTAAATTCACACTTTTTACATTAATATAATGTGTTTCTGAATACTCTTTGAATAACCACAGAAACTGTAACAGGTTAAATTATAATTAGCATAACAATGAAATAGACTAAAAGCTGAAAATATTAGAAAGAGCTTTACTATGCCTAAAGTAATCAGCATAGAAAATAAAATGGAAAACCAAAGCAACCATTGTTTGGGGGAGAATTTTGAATTACTGTTGTTCAATAAACTAGTGGAAATGAAAAAGGTTGGGTAGATGTCTTTCAGTATTTGCTTACTCCCCTGCCGAATATTGGTGGATTTTCTCGTTGTACATAAAAACAGAGTTCCCAATGCAATGTTGGGCATTAAAATAATTTTTAAATAAATGTTGAATTTGAGTGTATGGTACATCAAACATGAATTGGTGTTGATCAGTGCTATCTGACCAGAATATAGTTTTATTTTATAGCTATATTTCAAATTTTAGTGTTACAGATACATAAAGCAATAGAGCCAATCTAGCAGATCCATACTTCTTGAACTAGTTCCTAGTGAAAATGAAGTAAAATATGAGGATCTTGGAAGGCAGAGGGCATGAAGAAGCTACTCCTGCTTTGAGGATAGGCAGATGTGAAGAAAGGAAAAGACCAAGGAGAAGCATACTCTCATGTCTGAGCATTGTCACACTCTTGGTCTCCTGCAGGACACCCACATTGTCCCAGGTGAGGTTTTAGACTTAACAATGTAATACTTCAACTACATTTTCAGGGGTTAACAATGAAATTACAAGTATTGTTTGCATGTCTATTATGAGGAAGACTGCTAAAATCCTGTTTTACTTTGAGGGTCACATGAAAAATTGAGGAGAGGAAAAAAATAGATGATTTAGTATTTTTGTCCATAATACTCTACTGGCATGTCAGCAAGGATTATTTTGTTTTGTTTTGTTTTGTTTTTGCTTTTGTTGTTGTTGCTTTGTTTTTTGTTAGAGAAAAAATTAAATACTTAACTCTCAATAAATTTATCACCCTGACACTTGACAATCTGAGGCTAGCAAAACATAGTAATGACACCAAATATGTTTAAAAGTTGTAATGATCTCTTTATTGATAATTGCACAAATGAATTATTTGCATCTAGGTACATGAACTGAGGAAAATGAAAATCATCCAGTCAAATCTGGCTAATTCTCTTTTGAAAATTTGCTTTTATATCTGGTTCTTCTGTATTCTATTCCCTCAACGGGGGTGTGGGGAAAGTGTGCTCACTATACCTGCAGTTTTGACCTGATAGGGTTAGTAATGTGGTGTCATAGGAGTTACCTTTGATTGTAATAGGATAAATGACTTCAATGCTGAACTCCAAATTCTCTGAAGTAACTTCAAGTACCACTACCATAGGCAGAATTGGAACAATCAGATTTTTATCTCTCAAATTCAAGAAGTAACTCAACTCTAGCAGATGATACTGGATCCACATTTAAGATGAAATGCAAAGATGCAGGTGACTTAAAAGATCTTCTCTCTGATGTTCTTAAATCCTGATATTCTACATTAGAAACACTGACTTCACTATCAGAGAGAACATTAACATTCTTTTCACTTAAAATGTTCCAATTTCTACTATTTTCTTCAAAAAAAAGTTTTTCTATTCTTGAAAGCATAATATTAATGAAAATTATTCTTAAATTCCTTCTTCTTTTTAATAAATTTCAGAAAGTATAAAATTGAACTATCTTTACTTTTCATATGGCAGAATTGAGTAGGCAACTCTGAGTGAAATCATGATCTCATATTGAAAATATTACTTTTAAATACCCCACTCAGTATAATGCTTCTTAGAATTATGTAATCTCTTTCTATATAAGGAACATGCCAAAAATATTTATTTTACTAAATATTATCTTCTTTATATTTACATTCTATTTTTTGTACTGAATTATTTATATTTTATTAGAGATCACCAAATCTCTTCCACAATTTCCTCATGGCATTTTTCACTTCCTTGTTCCGCAGTGTGTAAACCAAAGGATTGAGCAAGGGAGTGAAAACAGTGTAAAACATTTCCACTTCTTTATCAAAAGAGAATATAGATGGAGGTCGTGCATATATAAATATGCATGGGACAAAGAACAAAACCACAACAGTAATGTGAGATCCACAGGTGGACAGAGCTTTCCTCCGCCCTTCAGCACTGTGTTTTCTCAGGGAGAACAAGATGACGCCATAGGAGACAAGCAACAAGGAGAAGTTGATGATGCAGATTAACCCACTGTTGGCGATCACCAGAAGACCTAGAATGTGAGTGTCAGTGCAGGCCAGCTTCAATAATGGGTACAAGTTACACATGAAATGATCAATTACATTAGGGCCACAAAAGGGCAGCTGGAAAGTAAACAGAATCTGAATGATGGAATGCAAGAAGCCCCCTGACCAGGCCACCCCCACCAGAATGCCACAGAGCCTCCAGTTCATGATGGTAGAGTAGTGCAAGGGCTTGCAAATGGCCACATAGCGGTCGTAGGCCATGGCTGTGAGGATTATCATCTCTGCCCCACCAAATAAGTGTTCAGTAAAAAGTTGAATCATGCATCCTTCAAATGTGATGGTTTTCCT